TTATTCATTGATTTTTTACATTTTTATTCTTGCAAAGAAAGAGGTCTTAAAATAAACGTACTAAAGGGATGTAGCTGGTATTCAAGAAGAGATAAAATATGGACTGGCTTTCATGCCGTGAGACTGGAGCAACTATAGTGCTTGGATCACAGGTGCTTTGAGTTTCCCATAACTCCAGACACTATTTACATGCAATACAGTTAGCAGGCAGCACTGCCTCACCAGAAAAAAATGCCCTGTTTTTTTTGTCATCAGACTCAAGAAGTACAGAAGGCCATGGATGAGAAGAAATTTGATGAGGCGGTCAGACTGCGTGGCAGGTATTTGTAAAATTCCACTACGCTGACATGATTAAACACCTGTAGGATTTGTTATGTTTATATATACCCAATCGACATATTGGAAGATTAAAAAATACATAAAGTGCTTAAATGTTGCTCATGCCAGGAGCACTGGTTCGAATGTTGCACATGATGTCTGACACTACACAGCACAGAAGTTGTGTATAGTACATTTTGCGGTTTGACAGCATCCCACTTCCTGCTTATCTGTGTTAACATTGATCTCTTAATGACTCTAAATGTTTGCCCTGCTGCATTTACAGACCAGAATTCATATTGGATTTTCCACATTGTTTAACTTTTTTTCCATCTGCAGGAGCTTCGAAAACAATCTGAGCACTTACCGACTCCTCTCATTTCGGAAGGCAGATTCTGAACTTCCAAATGTAAGTATTATCACTCTCAAATATTAACAGCTAAAATAATTTAATTAAACCAGTAAAATAATAATTACCATGTTTATTCTCCAAATGTGTCTTTCCACCAGCTGCTCTGAGAATTGTACATTAGCATAAGGTATTTCCTGGTCAGGTGTATTGTGGGTGCTGCAGTCTTTTTGTGACACTAACACAGTCTGTCTTTCTATAACTGTCCATCCTGAGGGAGAGGAGGAGGCGGGGGATGAAGAGCAGATTGATGTATGTGATGAGTGAAAATGGGGCAGCTGAGCAGGCTTTTGATCAGCGTCTGAAGCTTCTGCAGGTGTAGGTCATACGAGGAGCTGCTTTGCAGTTAGTTTGACCATCTTATTCCCTTTGGCTTCTAATAATCTTCCCAATGCTGAGATAAATATGTGTGGATTTTAGTTTCTTACCAAGTCTAGAACTATCCACTTTATTTTAGTTGTTGTAAAATGGTGCCACAAAAGGACAGCGTCAGTGCTCTTCACCTGTCGTTCTGTCTGCCTTTGCTTATTTCCTCATGGCTCTGCTTGGATGCTTGGAATTAGAAATGTAGACATGCAAAGAGGTGCATTAGCGCTGCAGTGCAGGACTCCGACCAGCCCTGCTGTCAGGGATAATGGCAATGAGGGTGTGATCTGCTTCAAATCGCTCTGAAGTAGTCTCCTTTATAGATGTGTTTTCGCTGACTCTCAACTCAAACTGGACAGGCTCCAAGCTCTTTGTTTTATTCAAAGATGGTTAGTGGTTGTTAAACGTAAAGCTTTCATCTGTTGAATATTTGTTTTTTTATAATCTTCTTTTTTATCTCAGCATGCCTATGTTCTCCAACTGTTTAGTGCTGTCTGTATGCAGCAGCCAAAGATTTTTCAATCTTTGAAAAATGATGAAGGAATTGTATTTGATTAAACAGAAAGTAAACATAATCTGATAAGGCTTCAAAAACCAAGGTTTGATTCTTGGCAGTTTTTGATGCTGGTATAGTTTCTGCAGACACATTTCTGTCTGACCTTACCGGGCGTTGTAGTTTGATTCCACTTGTGCTTGCTAGACTTCAAAAACAAAGCAAACTGTGTGAGATTTGGTATTAAGCATTTATTGAGAGAGAGTTGGAAGCCTGTCCGTTTTGAGGTACTTCACGTCATATTTATATGTGCCATTAACCCAATTGAAAACAAGAACATTACGGGCTCAGTCTATTATTGGAGCACAGCATAATGCATTCTGTGTTGTTGGGTGTATCCATATTGCATTTTGCAATGTGGACCACATGAACCCGAGTTTGACTTTGAAATAAGATCCCCTCTAAAGTTGGATTGAAAATTGTTTGGTAAGAGCACCATTTGCGTTTTTGCCAAATGATTCAAGACTGAATGGCAAGAAAACTGCTAAAAAAGTTTGGGAAAATATTCATTTGAGTGTTGATATTTTCAGTGGCTGTCATGACAAAGTAGCTACTACTTCACTGCGTCTTTTAGCAGCATGTGGCTCATGCATGAAAGGCTATCACTGCCTGCTGCTGTGTGAGGCAGAGTCTCTCCTGATGACAGATGAAGCCGTGATTATGGCTCCATGACGTCCAAACTGAACCATTTCAGTCCAGTTTTTGTCCAGTTTGCCTCATGCCATGGAATTAATGGCATGACTGCATTGCCGGTAAAAGCTGCTCATAGATATATTCTGGGTTCGTACACTAAATATAGGAGTTGGGCCTAAAGTATGAATATGGTTTAAAATTTGAAAAAGCTTAAGGGTGCTACCACATATCACAGTACCATGGGGTTCTGCTTCCCCTACTGTAAGGTTAGTACTGAGTGTTACATGAGTGTGATTGGTGCTGTGTATCACCCACAGAGCTCCTTTAATGTGGCAGTAATGAACGTCGGTGCTCCAGCAGCAGGTATGAATGCTGCTGTTCGTTCTGCTGTCAGAGTGGGAATCACCGAAGGCCACAAAATGTTTGCTGTAAACGATGGCTTCGAGGGATTCTACAAAGGACAGGTGAGATTCAATGTACATAATTGTCATTCAGACAACTATGTACAAATATAGAGTTCCACGGATATCTGTTATTAGGCTTTCTCTTCATACCGTATGTTATTGAAAAACCGAATATAAGTTACAATTTCTATGCTGATGACACACTATTGTACCTTTCATTAGACATGAGACAAAATCCTGATTTTGAAGGATTAGATTGGTTGAAAAGTGAAGCTGGGGTCCCTGACTAATAACCCCACTAAGTATCACAGTGATTGAAAAAGAAATCCTAAAAAAACAGTAATATTCTGGCAGCTGGGGCACCAAAATAATATCAGAAAATAACAGAAAATAACTTTCCCATGAAAATACGGTTATTTTCAGTAATGACAATACAGTTTGTTGCCCTAATTTCACATGGGATTTTGCCTTTTTCACGTGCCTTTAAACATTAAATTAGGAACAATTTAATGTGATTAAACAATGAAATTACCTATAAACAAGGTCAATGAATGTGGCAAAATGAATCATAATACTTAAATGTACAGAAATATACAGTTATTGTTGGTTTAAATAATAACAGACTGCATTCATGCAGTGCTTTATGAGACCCTCAAAGCACTTTACAATTCCACTTTATAATTCCTCTCTGGCCATCACCAGTAGGTGAAGTGTCTTGCCCAAAGACACAACGACCGAGACTGTCCAAGCCGGGGCTCAAACCAGCAACCTCCTGATTACAAGACGAACTGCCAACTCTTGAGCCACGATCGCCCTAAATAACAATAATAATAATTATTTGATTTTTATTTATTTGAACATTTCAATCTTTCAAATAATGGACAAATATTTGTGAAAATATGATGCATTAGTGAATGTATTTTAACAATCTAAATATGCATATGTACAGACAAATACATTTAAAAAGGAAGAAAGTTATGTTTTATTACATTTACAGTGATTTTACGTTAATTTACATTTGAAATGTAAAATCACAGTCTATTTAGGTGAATTTAATATTCTAGAAGAACAGTACAAAACTGTAAAATACACAGTAAAATAGTTTTATATTACAATTTTTTTACAGTGCATCTTACAAAAATGCAAATGTCATGAAAGTCTTTATTGTTTATAATTTAATTTTAAAAAAAGTAAACATCTATATTCATTACATGTTAATTATTTCAAGACTTCAATCCAGTAGTTCAAATTATTAGAACATTTCCTAAGTTCAATCAAAAGCAAGAATTGACATAAAGAAATGTCTAAAGTCTGAAAACTATGGTTGTACTCTCAGTGGTTGGTTGGGGCTCTTTTATCATGAACTGCTGTGTCAGTGTGGCATGGGGGTGGCAACGCTGAGGTGTTTTTGAAGCCTAGGTTGCTTTGATAGATTCTCTGTAGGGTTCAAGCCAGAAGAGTTCACTGAAAAGTCAAGCTGAGTAATAACATTGTCAGTAAATCATTTGATAGTTTGGATACAATGGGCAGGTACTTTGTGAAAAACAGTGGATCAATCATCACCAACACTTGCTGACAACATGACACATCATAGACTACAGAAACTCCACACTGGACTTCAAATAACTTTGATTCAGTGCCTTTCAACTCAGCCTTAATATTTTAAGATCTTAATTTCCAAATGAAATGAAAAATGTGCTTACAGAGAGTAATATGAACCACTGAGCAACAGCCTGGTCCTTTTTTTCCTCCTCATCCTAGGTAAGCTGCCTCTGATGTTGTCATCGGGGCAGTCGTATTTCCTTTCCTTGGGAAGTGGGCTGGGGCTGGTGTTTCATGATGTTCTTGACTTGTACTTGACATTGTAGTTCCTCTCAATGCTGTCCTGGTGCTGTGTGCGGATGCATTTAAAAAGCAGAAACTCTATCTCTGATGTTTTTGATAATTCAGACACTGACACAATAATTTTCAAGGGAGTGTTTATCTGGTAGATTGCTTTTTGTAATAGTCCCAGTGAGATCTGTGAACCTTTTCTGCCATGCATTAATTTGTTTTGTTGCGATACAAATGGGCTGCCTTTCTCTTTCATCAGATTAAGGAGATCAAATGGGGAGATGTTGGTGGTTGGACTGGCCAGGGTGGGTCACTGCTAGGGACAAAAAGGTAATCTGCTGCTTTATTATATACCTGTTATTATAAGCCTACATCATTTTTAAGTTTCCTCTTGATGAGGAAGGTTAAAAACGAGGTTAAGGTTGGCACTGACCCATTTTTAGGATTTTATGCATAAAGGTGCCATTTAAACTTGTTTATTGCATCAAGGCTTTCTGACTTTGTCAGGAACCTCTATTTAAACAAACATGAAAACAAAATTAGAAAATGTTCTGGTGGAAATTATGACCATTGTATTGTTACAGTCGGTTTCAACTCTGTTATAATATAACATCTTAAAACAATAATTAGAGCCAAAACTGAAATCGTAAACATACTGTGAGCTCACTAACACTGTCAGAGAGAAGTTAGGGGCTTCTTCACCTTTTTGCCTCCTTCCCGGAGTAAAAAGAAAGTGGTAACATCTCTTGGAGTATTGGATTGGAGTACCTCCTGGCTTACATGGCAGGCCAACTGCTGCAAATGTCATCAAAATGACTCTGTGAGTTCCAGGTTTGCGTGACAAGAATAAGTGACAACTTGATGGGTTTCTGCCATTTTCACCAAAGAAACACATTGTTGCTGTGACAAACTTTGAAGCAAGAAAACTCCATGGCTACATTTAGGATGATATTTACATGAAATACCTGGAAGCCTATACTGGTGTTCTAATTGCTGGAGTGTACAGATCCAGCAATGAGACCACTGATGGTATGTGGGAAGCATCGACAGGCAGGCATATTTTCCAGGCAAAAATGTCACTCAGACCTTTTGAATGATATCAAGAGTCCTCAGATTTTACAACAGATAGATAGATAGATCCTAGAGCAAACCTGACACGCATGCTCCCATTAGGGATGTCTGGGAGAGATGGGTGGAGCTCTTTCCACCAATGTTCAACACAAAGGCAGAGGTGAGAGTAAATGAACATCTGGGCAGCCTTGGATGCAAAAAGCAGCATCACGGGCTGTGTAATTCTGTGCATCGAATTGATAGAATTACACAGGAATGTTATTATAGTTAATAATATTGACATAAAAAATAAATGAAACCGATTTATTTCAGAGATATGTTACGTTACATTGCTACAAGTTTTTTTTAATCTCTTGAGTTTAATTTGCTATAGTTTCGGAATGAAAATGAGAGGTGTGCTGCAAAAAGAAAGAGCCTGAGGGCCACAGGAAAAATATTAAAACCCATCTTTTCATGGATAAGGAAGCCTAACAAGATTACAAACAATTTGAATGATAAACCACTGTTTTGAGGGAACTTTTTGGTTGATTTAAGACACAAAACTATCCATTAACATAAAAGATGATAACAGAAAGCTAAAACAAGAGGAAGGTTAAATGCTTTAACATTAAATGTACATGATAAAGTGTTATCCCCTTTGCCTTTTTAATGACTAATCATTTTTTATGTGTCAGAACTCTTCCAGGAAAACATCTGGATAAGATCGCTGAGCAGATGAGGATTCATAACATCAATGCTCTGCTTGTGGTCGGAGGGTTTGAGGTATGTACAACCTTTCCTGGTTATTGCAAATTAAAGCATTTTGTTTGTAATCACATTTTATCAATATTGTATCTCTGACCATTTTTTATCATTTAGAAAAATACAATGAGAAAAAAATCTTAAATTCAGCTATTGTTTCATTAAAAAAAGCTACTGATATTGTAAAAGCAGAGTTATTGTGTAATGTAAAATGGCTAACCTTATTGTATCAGCATTATCAAGCACCGTCTCCCACCAGCATTTTACGATTGCCATGTGTTGTATTGCTCAGCATTTTCTGGTCCATTTGTTTCTCACCAATTTACCCAATTTGACATTTTAAATTTGCAAAACACATTTTCTATATTAATATTTTTTCAAAATATAATGAAGACATATTTAAATTTTTAAGGCTCTCTCCCTGTCTGTCCATGTGTCAGTATGAACTGTTGGCCAAGCTGCAAAGCCAGCATGTATATAGATAGATTTAATGATTTTCAGTACATTGAAATGGATGTTTATGGTATTTTGATGCTTTTCAAGCTCTTTGTCCAATCGAGAGATTAAATGAAACCAGCATAAAACTTTTATTTTAACAAAGAACTTTAACAATTCAACCATGTCATTTAAAAGAAAAGGTTTTTGACTTTGGTAGCTTGGCCAAAAATGAACGTTGTCTCTGTCTTTGTCCTTTTATGTGAGGAGCTGCAACATTGACTTCCTGTGTGTGTCTCACTGCCCGTCATGATTGGCCTGGCTCTCTCCCCTTGGCTTCTCCTAACAGTACATTCCTCACAGACGTTTCTTCATCCCATCGCTGACTTTTCATTTCATACTCCATTTCTTGAGCTCCATCTCTCATCAGCAGATCCCTCCCACCTCAAAGCCGCCTCCTCCTTCACGCCCACCACAAGTTAACTTATGATTCCTAAAGCAAACATGTTCAGATTATTAATTTGCATGTATCATAGCTATGATTGGCTAAAATTTTAGCTCTAATCAATATATAACAATAGAAGTAAAAGTAAACGTTATCTTAAGCCACTTTTAGTAATGCAGTGATTCTTTTTTACAGTAGTACCTAGCTCCTGCTGTAGCTGATGAAGAAATGAAACATCTTGCAGAAGTTGGTGAATAAAGTGAAACATTTGATTTCCATTCGACAAAATCAAAGCTGTGCAATGCTCAGCGTTTGGTGCTAGCCCATGAATCAATTAGTGGACTATACTCCATTTTATAGTAGATAATATCTTCTTCTCGAGTGTAGTATGGATTTTGGACACACCTTTGCTATCTCCAGTAAGTTCCCAGCTCTTCCTGTCATGTTTTTTCCCTCAAAACTCACCTGTGTCCTCTTGTCCACTGCACCTTCAAAGTCCTGGGGATTAGAGCTCTTCACTTTTCCCCCACTTGTGTGTACATACTCAATGACCACTAAGACGCTGGCTCTCACTACTGCAGGCCTACGTGGGATTACTGGAACTCGCTGCTGCACGGGACAAATATGAGGAGTTCTGTGTGCCCATGGTTATGGTCCCGGCCACCGTCTCCAATAATATACCCGGTTCAGACCTCAGCATTGGTTCAGACACTGCTCTGAATGCCATTACTGACGTAAGTGTGGCTGGGCTAGAGAGAATGTATGTGTGTGTGTTTGTAGACTTAACACACATGCAGACTTAACACATCTCAGAGTTCGGGATTTGCTGATTGCCAGCTCGCATCCTTGCATTAACAAGCAGTAGGTCAGATTTAGTTCACACGTCAAGACAGTTTAGATCTTTTTACAGGATCCATTTGTTTTCTAGTTTAAATTCAGAAATTGAAAATATATTATTGTTATTGTTTCTTATTTAGTGTAAATTGTCAAAAATTGGTTCTTAATCTTGTGCATGGGCTTAGAGCTGCCATTAATTGAACTTTGGCAGCTTAGTAGTAGTGACAAAAAAGCCAGATTAAAAAACAAATATTTGAAATTTGGACCTGCTCATTGGTTCCCTCTGAAATGAAATCAGCTGTGCCTGGGTAAGATTTTTAACTTCAAGTTTTCACTTTGAAGTGCCGTAGTTTCACTAACTGAAACTCAGGTCACATGACAGAGACATTTTAAGAAGCACTCAGTGCTAGTGCTCTGTAATGTTTTGTGTAAACACTGGCCTCCCGCTTAACAACCAAACTTGTGTTTTTGCAGAACTAAATGGAAAGTACAGGCTTACTGCTTTCACATAAACACAACTGTAAGATAATAGAAACAAGACCTTACAGTTAGGACAGGCAACGCATACTATGCCAAATAACTCAGCTCAGTTTAGCTGATGCAGACATTAGACTGTTAATAATCAGCATGAAGTACAGTAGAAAACACTTGCTGCTGGATGCGGGCTGATCAGCAGAGGTCCCAGGTATGTGTTAGGGCATGCAGTGGTGTGTTGTGGCATGCTCTTGGTGCGTGACCCTGGCGTGTTCATGTGGTCTTCTTTGTGTTTTGTAAAAGGCAGATAACTAGACAGCAGGAAGGTTCAGTCTAACGGGAACACTGTTTGCGTTTGGGAAGTAAGTTTGTTTGCTGCATAACTGATTGTGGTCTACATCGTAGTTCCTATTGTTCTTATCTGAGAAAGCCTTTCTTGTCTTCAGACAAAACAAAAAAACCAAATAGAAATAAAAAAAAACTTCCTCTTTGCTTCTTGAACATAAAAGGAAACGTTGCCCGACTGCCTCTGGAGTCTCACCTCGTCGCGTCGACACCGTTACATGTCAACCACGATGCAACCCCTCTTCCTCATTCCATTTACTCTCAGCCAATGAGAAGCCAAAGTCCCCCCAACTCCTGGAGAGAGCCAGCCAGTTGCACACACTACAGGACACACACACAAACACACATGCACACACACGCAGAGCTGCATATTCATGGTCTCATTGGAGTTAAAGTTACTTCTTTGTCTTGTATCCTTCCTTTTAAAATGCTAACCCTAAAGGTTGCAGCAGGTTATAATTTCAAACAATTTGGGGTTTGTAAATATTGTACAGTGCATAGTAGACCATCTTTAAAGAATTATATGTCATGTCAAATTAAAACTAGAATTTCATGGTAACAAGCTTTTCCTGTCAGGATGAGAAGGAACACCTTAGTGATTTCATGCTGATGATTGTCTGTGCAGTAATGGGTTTATCTTTACATCACAGACACTCCTTTCCAACATTAAAACCTGACAGATCAGACAAATATGGGCTGGGCTGTTTATGTTTTAAAAAGCTGCTAGTATGAAACAGAAAAGTGCATTCAATGGTGTTTTATAAAGTATCCATCCATCCACGGGGATATTGCAACTTGGCATTTGATTAACAAACAGCTTTAGCTATCATGATAATGAAGGATACAAGACAAGGGAGTCACTGGGCACCATGAAGCAGCCACTAAAGGGCACACTTTTTAGATGTGTAGTCTTCCCCCTAGTGGTCTAACTCCATATTACGGCTACCGTCATCAGGCCTTTGAGTCCATTCTGCAGCTGTTTGTGGCCCGGGCTGACTACGAGGAGTTTTGCATCCCGATGTGCATATTGCCTGCCACCATTAGTAACAATGTGCCTGGCACTGACCTCAGTCTTGGAGCTGATACATCCCTCAACGCCATTGTGGAGGTAAGGGCCCAGCAAACGAGATGAGGGGAGATATTAAGAGCTACAGATATGCTGAAGTGTTACCGTTAATAAAAATTGGGTTTAAAAGTGTCAAAACTGTTGTTGTTCACACAAATCCTAAAATAAAGACAGCTCGATCAGCACACAGCAGATGTTGCTTATGTGCCTCGTGCATTAATATTGGTTTGTTGTATTTGAAATATGACGATTTTATTATCTTCCGTTACCATCCAGGAGGATGTAGAGAATGTACTTTATTATTTATTCATTATGTACAAAAACAAGGCAAAGAGGGCAAAGAAAGTACAGCAAAGACTTGGTTAACTGGATCCAGTCCTGCAAGGTGCAGTCATTTGAACTATGCACTCCAATTCATCTACTAAAACTTTAAGAGAGGAATGAGTAAACAGAAGTAAAACCCGAGTGTCAGTGAGTACATGTTTTTCTTTCTGTGTGAATAGCTAAGATGGCACGATGCATGTCAGTGACTGTTCCTGTGTTTTACTGACTGTGTTGATTATTTCTGGCCTCTTGTGCATTTGGTACCAGATGGGTGAAGCCAACTAACAAGACTTTAAAATAAGAGTGTTTTTGAGAAGGTAAATAGGAAAGGACACTGCAGCGTCCTCATCTGGAAGCCTGAAATCATCTGATTAGACTAAAGGGACACACAGGTTGACTCTGATGGTAAATGTACCAGTTCTTTACAGTCTCCTTTGTTCTTTATTTATTCTTGGGAAGAAAAAAACCCTCTCAGGCTACAAGTCCACACTAATGCGCATCGTTTTTTCTCCGTTTTGGCCTCCCGTCCACACTGAGAAGGCGTTTTCGCTGATGGAAAACGCAACGGTTTGAAAACGCTCTCGAAAATGCATACATTTGGAAAGGGTGCTTTGGCGTTGCAGTATGGACAGCAAAAACGCATGTTAGTCATATGATGCAGTCATGTGACCAATTAAACTAAGATAGCGGAGGGCATTATACAGCAGATATACAGCATGATGATAAGATGTCTGAAGAAATAAGCACGTTTTTAGCCTCATGCCCTGGTCTGTCCACATGCAGCCAGTCGACTGCCACGTTAAACAATCAGATAAATTAGTTTCAGTGTGGTATGACAGGCTGTAAAATAAATGACTGGACTGAGTTACTGAGTCAATCTGTGCATCTCTAAGGACACTCAGCTATTTTATGTACTTTAAAGTAGAGCTGATGCAGATATCTTTTCTTTTCTTTTTAATTTTATTTTACAAAGTGATGACATATATGACATATTGTGGGACTAATAAAGGTATATCAAATCAAATCAAATCATATTTACCAGTTTTCACCCACAATCAAAAAGCTCAGATGTTTTCTCACAAATCCTTCTTATATTATCAGGATAAATAAAATATTCCTGTCAGCTCTACTTGTGTGTACAGTGTGTTTTGCATTTGCATGCTCTCTGCGTGAACATATTTTTCTTGTTTAATGATTGTATACTGTTTTATGTGTGTGTGAATCAGACATGTGATCGCATCAAACAGTCAGCTAGCGGCACCAAGCGGCGAGTGTTCATCATTGAGACAATGGGGGGCTACTGTGGCTACCTGGCCACCGTGGGTGGTCTGGCTGCAGGCGCCGACACTGTCTACATCTACGAGGAGCCATTTGACATCCGTGACCTTCAGGTTAGAGAGAAAAAGTCTGTATCCAACAGAAAATGCCTTATTTTCATGTCTCCTCTCATCATCAGAAAATACCAAGACCTTTTACTCTCTCGATGACTCTTATAGCCATGATTCCTGTCAAGTCCTTTTTGAGTTCCATTTAATTTATTTTTTGTATGTTTCATGACTGGATTTTATTGGTAACACCATTTATGAGGGCAACAGCATAAACATTCAGGATTCAAACTGCTCCTAATCCTCCGTTTAACATGGCTTTTTTATTTTTGGGCTCTGTATGATGTCAATAAGAACAGAAATTCCTAATATGGTCATCTCAGCCACACAACTGAGCCCCACCCACGTAATGTTCAAGCTTTCTGTCTACGACAGGCAGCCAGTTAGAAGAAAGTTGGCTAAAAATGGCTTGTTTTGAAAAGTCAGGGCATCCGTCCACTTTCTTCTGTTGCAGGGCTAACACAGACTTCCAGCCAACCCTGCACTGGATTATGAATCAAGAGTTCAGAATAAGCAACATAGAGCTGGAAATGAGCCTAATACCTTTCACTACGTTGCACATTTCCATCCTTAGCAGTAGTGGAGCAGACTGATCGCAGTGCAGTGCAGAAGCTTCCGTTAGTCAATCAGTGCCTCTGCCTGGATGTTTCAGGGCTGTGCAGGTGACCCAGATTATAGCAGTGCACATGAAGCAACTTATTAATAACCTCTGAGCTGCATCAGTCATTCAATGACAGACAGATCTCATCAACACAGATCAGGTCAGGGAGATTAGAGACGTCAGGACTATTATTGTTTACAATGTTCCTGTTACATACACTTTTAATATTAATTGTCTTTTTATTTATTTTGTCTGTGTATGTTTTACTAAATTTTAATCTAACAATGTTGAGTTCTTTATGCTCTGTAAATTTTGTTAAACTAATTTTCTTTTTAAAAAGTCTGGGCGCAGTGCACAATTTAGTTTTTTAGAAGTCTGCCTTTGCATATGAACTATAACTAGTACGTGTCACAAAGAATTTCAACCATAAAAATGCATGAAAAGGTAATAAAACAAACAAACACTTTTTCAGTGATCACAATGAGAAGCAGTAAAAAGCGCATGTGTGTGGTGTCGTAAACCTGCATTTCTGATGCATTAACCCTCTTGGGCTCACCAGCTGGGTAAAAGACAAGATATGGCGCCCCATGGTGGTGTAAATGTTACCTGCAGCTCTTCACTCTGCAATGAGAGACTGAAGAGTGAGAGTTGCTCTTGCAGGTTTAATGTGAGAGACTCTGTGTTTTCAGGCCAACGTGGAGCATCTGACAGAGAAGATGAAGACGAGCATCCAGAGGGGACTGGTGCTCAGGTGAGGCTAAACACCTTCATTCTTTAAAGTTACATTTAGATGCATTACCTTACACAAGCCTGTGGGATTTGTTGTACGGACCTGTGCGTACGTCTGCGATGAACAAAAAATGCAAAATGCTCTATTTTTAAATGTCATCTGCAGTGCGTTATTTGTAAATAAGTGTTTCTCAATTATGTATATAAAACCATTTTGGCAAATAAAAGATTTTTGATTAACCTTACACTTTATTTCATGTCCTCTATTGAGGTTATTTTAGTCCACTGCACCACCATGCTGTTGGAAATTACTCCCAGCAGGACCGAGGTCTGTGGAAATAGGACAAACGTTGTATTTTGAACCGAGTGCAGGTGACATTGTGTGCCTGCATAATTTCATTATTTTAAGATGCCCTCAAACATAGTGGTGCATCACAGCATCTCTATGCATGCATGCAGTGAAAAGCAGAGCCTGGATGAAGGGTATATGAACGCTGGTGTGTGGAGACTTAGCAGCCTGGTGACTCTGTGTCCTCTGTTAGTTGATAAATGGGTTCAGGCATTGTTTAGAGCATCTTCTTTTAAGGGAACACTTGTTATTTGGTGAAGCGATCCCTTAACCGGCCTGTTGCCCTTGTGCTATGTTTTAGAAATGAGAACTGCAACGAGAACTTCACCACAGATTTCATCTACCAGCTTTACTCTGAGGAAGGGCGAGGAGTGTTCGACTGCAGGAAGAACATCCTCGGTCACATGCAGCAGGTTGGCCACGTGCACAAATGAATGAACGCGATGCTGTGCTTGATATGTTTATCAGCAATGATGACAATCTGTGATGCAAGGAGCCAAATCCACAAAATATCTGCTATCCTTTATCCATCCATCCTGTCTATCTGGGAGATATTGCAGACATAGAGTTATGTTGCTAAACTAGTGATTGTAAGTGATCAAAATTAAGAGTTATAGTGTAACAGAAAAGTGCACTTAACATTATTTTAGATACTAGACTTGTGATATTTTATATGTAATGCCCTTATTTTGAATAAATATGACTTTTTTTCCATGTCAGGGAGGAGCTCCATCTCCCTTTGACAGAAACTTTGGTACCAAAATTGCAGCCAAAGCCATGCAGTGGATCACCCGGACACTCAAGGAGTCCTACAAAGGAGGCAAGCACATAAATGTGACACTTGATTCCAGCGAGGATGCAGAACATTTAGGTGTGAAATTGCTTTGCCGCAGTTACAAAAGCTGATGCTTCTCTTCGTTGCAGGGAGAGTGTTTGCAAACTCTGAGGACACCGCATGCCTGCTGGGGATGCGTCGCAGAACTCTGGTCTTTCAGCCTGTGGTGCAGCTCCGGGACGAGACAGACTTTGTGTAAGAAGATTGTTTAATATCTGTAGCAGTGCAGCTCACAACCCTGAGTAAGTAAGCTCACAAGCTGAGCTTACTTACTGTGTGAGAGGAAAAATGTTTTAGAGGACCATTTGCAGATCTTTAACATAGTGAAAAAAAAAAGGTAGTGCTAATGCATCTGAACCAGATTATTAAGAACAAACCTGAAAAATATTCTGACCCAATTCCTCTAAAATTCTCTGAAGCAGCGGCCCCAGGCCTTTTGTTTTAATCTTGCTTTTACAGATCTCTGTGGTTAAGAAATAGTGTAGAGAACATTCGTCTATTCTCTACTTTCAGTCACAGGATCCCTAAGGAGCAGTGGTGGCTGAAGCTCCGTCCTCTAATGAAAATCCTGGCCAAGTATAAGACAAGCTATGACGTGTCCGACTCCGGGCAGCTGGAACACGTGACGCGGGTCCGACCCAAAGACAGCAACACCTCAACGGCCATCTGAACCGCCTCACTTCCACACGCAGAGCTTCACTTCAACAGGACAACAGCTTCACAAAACAGTGACGGCTACTCACTCACTGACTGATCAGCTGCTGACTGACTGCAAATACGTTAAGGTAGATTATAAAAGATAGGTTATTTTAAAAGCTCTATTGAATGGTAAAGTCACGGCACTTTTCAGAGGGGATTCTATATTATGGGTCATGGGATTTGAGATTTTATTAAGTAGTGTGAACTTCCTAGCAGCGCTAATATTTTATTTTATAGATCCCTAAAAGTATTATATAAGTAAACACACATATATGGACCCTGTTCATTATGTACTGTATAAGTATTTAGATTTTATCCCCTAAAGAGTAGCTATATCTAATTTTATTACTTGAAGATATGTAGCTGAGCAAATGTTGTGTAAACACAGCTTGGCTGAAATCCGGCTTTTGTCACCTTTACCTTGTACTGCACTTTGAGCCCCATATTTAATACGACCCCCTAAAGCTGCTTATACAGAGAGAATATATTTCACGAGGATCACATGCTTTCAGCATGTTGGCCAGGTTGATTATAAAATGTTGAAACTTGAAGGATGTTTTTCTTCTGGGGGTTTTGGGACAAGCTGGTTGTGTGTCCTGTCACCTGCTAATTGTGTGTTTGTTGTGTTGTTGCCTTTGCTTTTTGTATCCACCCTGGGCGTTGTGTCTGGCATCTTGTAGTGGTTATCTGTAAGTAGGGTCCAATTGGCTGTTGCTGTAGCTCCTCAGTGAGACGGAGAGTGTCTGAGACTACGCAACATTTATGTGCTGGCAGTGTGACGTGTTCTTTCACAGAGTAATAAAGCATTTATTGTGTTGAAACTGTAACTGTTTTGTGTTATTGTATCTCACTTTTATGTGGTTGGCTCTTTGTATTTGTTTGATGGGAGGAGCCTGAGATGTTGATTGTTGGATTGAGTCATAAGTTAAACCGTAATGTTGTGCAACTTCACACAGACACCAGTATAACTTCTATCCATTCATTTAGACATGGGCTTCAAAATATCTGCAGCCATCTTGGTAAAGCAGTAACTCCCAGCTGTCATGGGGCGAGAGACAGGGTACACCCTGGACAGGTCGCCAGTCTGTCGCAGGGCTAACACACAACGACAGACAACCATTCACACTCACATTCACACCTAGTGGCAATTTGGATTATCCAATTAACCTATCCCCACAAGCTGCATGTCTTTGGACGGTGGGAGGAAGCCGGAGTACCCGGAGAGAACCCACGCAAACACGGGGAGAACATGCAAACTCCACACAGAAAGACCCCGGCCTGATGGTGGAATTGAACGCAGGACCTTCTTGCTGTGCGGCAACAGTGCTAACCACCGTGCTGCCCACTGCCTACTGTTAAAACTACCTTTAAAGTATTTGAGCCCAGGCAGAAATATTACACAAATATCTTAAATACTGGACCAATTAAGTCAATATTTGGGGAAACTAATTTCTTTCCCCCAGGAATAAAGTGTTTTAATGACTCACCAATGACAGATTTTGTATTCCAATGTCATGATGCAGCATTTAATTGTACATAACAGAATATGAATAGGCAGTCATACAAGTATTTCAAATGGCAGACACTGATTAGGTAACTTTCTTCCTCTTTCTTTTGTGCGGTTCAGCTTTCTTTTTGCCACCATTTAAAACATTTCTGAGATGACACTTGTTCTTTGGATGACCACTTTGAAAATATCTACTGACAGTCCTATTTTATAATCCATGAAGGATCTTTTTTAATAACGTCATTCTCTGGGCCCAGAATGGCAACGCCACACGTCTTCTGACCAGCACTGAGGTACCTGCAGAAAAAAACGAGGGATTATTTTGTGGGCATAAGAAAGCTCTACTTGTTGTAAATAAACAGCAGCATCTTGACAAATTGCATTTTGCAGGATTGGTCAGTTTTACCTTTCAGCCACATCCACTAGGTTTTTATGGTCAACAGCAAAGAGTCTTTGTCTGTGACTCTGCTTCATCTCGTCCGTGACCCCACTGAGGAACTGACCCATGCCTGCACCAAAGACAGAGTCACAAGCTTTACATCAGAACATAAAGAATGCTGAAATTACAGCTTCAGCTAAGGGATCCATTCGCTCTATAAATTCAACTGTATATTATTACTTCAAGTCTAAAATGATGCAAAATAGTTAAAGATGGGGGAAGGTAGCATGTGCACCACACTGGCTGTGAGAGTCTGAAGGCAAAGTTCTGTACAGATGCATAAACACACACAAAATTTACTCTATTATGAAACCTTTTTTGAATATTTACAGATTCATTCTCATGCAAGGACAGAATGTGTTCAAATCCTTTAAAAGGTTTGATGTAAACTGATCCAGGCAGCTGCTTTCAGGGAACCTCTCATCACTCAGATGGCACCTCACCTTTGTCTGCGGGGGCCACAGGTGAGTCCACCGCTGAGAAGACTGACAGTTTGGCTTCGTCGATGTCTTGCTGGGTGAACTTTCCTGACTTTGCCCACTCGATACCGTTACCAAAAGCAGATAATGTCTGCACTGTGTTTGGATCCCTTGGACACAGAAGAGACAACACATGAGGTCAAAACTCTCCGAAATTCTTATCATAATTTGAACTTTCAATGTTTCCTGCCTTCCTTCCCTATTGATACACAGTAAACCTTTGTATTGAACTTCTACCCACCTGTAAGAGTAAAAGGTGAACAGGCCTCCTCCTATCTTGGCCCCGCCTCCATAAGCTCCGCCTTTCTCACGGATCTCTCCATGAAGAAACTTTGCTGTCATCATCCTGGCTAAGATGCACAAACTAATGAAGGAGTAAAGAGAAAGTGTTTACTGCATGCAGTTATTACAAATGCATAACTGAGAAAAAAAAAAGCAACACATTTTCAGTAAAATTAAGTAAAAGAACACACTAAAGCCGCCATAAACTGTGTTACAGTTATTTACCTGCTGCTAGCAGGATGTAATGATATCGTTACCTGGCATAGTCCTTGTGGGAGAAGGGCACTGCGCGAATACTCTCACTGACAAAGTTGACAGGGAAAGGCATCTGAAAGAAAGTCTTCATTGGACATGGATGGAAAGTTGGCTCCTGAAAAATGTAAAACCGCAAATTAATTTAATTCTAAATCAGAAATGGATTACTTATTGAATTATAAATATGTTAATTGTAAAAAAACAATTCTTCAAAAATTGATCAGTGGATTAAGAAAGAAATAAAGAAAAATGTAACTATTGAACCTACTGATATTAGTTTTCTTCGTGGGCCATTGTCATCCAGAGGGTTTATCGGCTTCTGCAATAAACACAAAGATTTAAAAAAAAAAAAAAAAAAAATGGATTGATTATAACAATGAATTAATTCATTTACACATATTTTGTTTTCCCTGTTCAACTTCACCTCAATAATATTTGGTCTGACAGGTTTGCGTTCCTTTCTGTTCTTAGCCACATCCTTTATAAAACCCTCCACGTGTGCCGCTGCATCAGATACTTTCTCTGGAGTTGAGTTGATTGCACATCTATATGGACACATTTAAAATAAGAAGCGTTGAGTACCTGATATTTCACTATTTTATAGTTCATTATTTACAGTGAAATAAAGATAAAGTCTACATATAGCAGGTGTATTATGGACCCACCTCATGTTGTTTGGGTTGAAAAGGTGTATTTTGAGCCTGGGTAACGTTCGGATGATTTGGCTGAGGTCTGCCATCGCAGCTGTTCTCTTCATAAACGTAACCTGTTGTTAGAAGATGAAGTATTGGTTCCAAAGTATTGACACATCACATCTCTACCCTTTGTTGCAGAAATTTAAAATAACATGAATAGTGATTTTAAACATACAGTACATTTTCTTTGACACAAGACACTGTTGGATGGAGTTTGGAACCAGGCCCGGGGAGCGTGCATGAGGCCTGGGCGGGCCTGGCCCCGAAAATGCATGGCTTGGTGTTGAACCAGTCTCCTGGAGAGGGGCTTGAATCTGTCTGAGTCTGGAGTTGCCCTTGGTGAAAGGAAGTAAGCTGGGGTGGGTATCTAAGTATCCCCTCAGCTTGCTGCCAATATGTTGGGGTTTTTCTGGTGGATGAGAGGATTTGTTCCTGGCGCCTTCAAGACAGGAAATAGGTCCTGACTGTCATCTGTAGTCCGCAGGCTGATGATTGCCTGAACATGGTCCATTGCACTGAGCTGCAGCTGCAAGGTGGTTGATGCCTGTGGTGGTGGTAACCCCCGAACCAGATGGTGGACACCTGAGGTGGAGGGAACCATTAGGTTGAAGAAGGAATCCTATCCGGCTTTGTTAGCCGGTGGGACTTTGGAGGCAGTACTTAGTAAGTACTTAGTGATGTGGACACAGTACCGGTCAGTCGAGGTGAAGAGAGCTGAACATAAAAGCAAAGCTCTTAATTTACTGGTTGATCTACATCCCTACACTCGCCTATGGTCACGAGCTTTGGCTAATAACTGAAAGAACAAGATTGCAAATACAAGCGGCAGACATGAACTTTCTCCGAAGGGTGACTCAGACTATAGCCAATACACTTCCACATTGAAAGGAGCCAGTTGAGGTGGTTCCCTGAGTCAGATGCCTCAACCACCTATGTCCCACTGGGACACACTGGTGAAATTATATCTCTCAGCTGGCCTGGGGACACCTTGGTGTTCCCCCGGACATGCTGGAAGAGGTGTCCGGGGAGAGGGAGGTCTGAGGTTCTCTGCCTAGGCTGCTACCTCCACAACCCGGCCCCGGATAATTAGAAGAAAATATAAAACAAACAAATAAACAAGCAAAGCAGCTTTGTGGATAGCTGGGTTTTTCTGAAAGGTTAAGCCTTTATTAAAATGTACAAAGATACCTGTTCCATCCCACCAAAAGTCTCCTGGAGGTCTCCAGCTGGAGTGAGGTGACGACCTGCCCGAGTCATAGCATACAGGTGACCTGAGTATGCGATACTATTGGCCAACTCCTGTGCTGACTGCATCACCAGCACCCTCAGGCGCTCCTCGTCATCAAAGTGAG